GAGCTAAAGAAAGGAGATCCTTTAGGAGAGCCTGCCGCCTGGGAGGGGACAGAGGGCCATCCCTGAGGAGCAACAGAAAAAGAAGGAAATACACCTGACAAGACAGAGCGTCCCAGATGACAGAATAACTCCCACCTCTCCTGGCCCAGCTTCTGTCGGATTGCACTGTCATTTCGTGGATACTGGGGAATTAGGAGCAGAGGGGAGGGCAGGCATCCTGAGAAAGGAATGGAGGGCAGGAAGTCAGAGAATTTTTTGATACTCAGGCATTCAAAGTCTTAGACTAGGAAACCACACAGTCACTTCAATAAATGTGACATAGTTTCTGGCTGCCCGAAAGCAAATGAAGGAAGCTCAGTGTAAAGAGAGTCCCTTTTGATCAGGGTTTTGTGCTCTCAAGTCAAAGCAATTCCCCCGGATCTTGGAGTTGTCATCTATATCAGGATTCAGATGGAATTGGTCCAGTTTCTTCCAAATGCACAATCAGACATTCACTGTCAAGGAAAAATGTGGCTCTGAGCATAAAGAGTTGCTCTAGGGACTGAGTTCCAATTCCGATTTTGCCATGACCACTCTCTTCTGTGTGTGATCCAAATGGACACGAGAATTCACTGAGAACCTGATGCTGGGGACAACGAGAGTGACAAAATCTGGTCAGAGAGCCCAGCAATGGATGCAGTTAAACCATTCTAAAAGTGAGTCCCTTCAGTATTCTGGGCCACAGCCCCCTATATGTTTTTCCCTTGGAGATAACACTCCTCCACCCACCTGTCATGGTAGTCGTGAGGAATAACAAGTAGGCTGGGACGAACAGTATTTTTAACTCGGGAGTTAGAGAAATGCTGAGTCATCATCATCATCATCACCATCATCATCAACTCCTACTCAGGGAGCTGGTTTTCTCTACAGTCAGGAAAGTGGGGCTCTGGACCCAAGAACGGGCAAGCCAGCAAAGGATACACAGGCACGCTCTGTCTCCTTGGCCCACTATCCGAAATGTGCACCTGTGACCCTTTTTGTGGCCCTCAGGCCAATATGTTGCAGGTCCCCCAGATGGACAGGACAGACACAATGCAAGCCAAGAAATCGTGGACTACACAGGCAGACTCCCATAGACTTCCCTGCCAGAGTCACTCAAACTGGAGACAATATATTTTTATTTCTTTGAGTCACTTATGTATTTATTCGATAAATATTTATTGAGCACTTACTATATGCAAGGTCTTATGCTATGAGTGAAAAGCTGGATCATGGGTGCCAACATATGCTTTAAGGAGGCACATTAGTAAGTCTCCAATTCCCACTTCTGCTACTCTTAATATGAGCAATCAATCAGAAGGAAATCAGTGGGTGAAAAGGGCTACTTTGTCCTTTTAAATGCTGGGAATCTTAAAGATAGTAGAACCATGGGTAAATGACCCAGGAATTAAGAAACTGCCAAAGCAACTGAGGGCAAACAAGGAGATAATATTTTAGTGTTTAGCCTCGGTACTAGAGTGCTATGAAAATGTGAGGGAATTTTATTAGTTTTAACTAGACTCATCTATTGCCTGGTTAGCTGAAGAGTCCCACGTTGTAAGGCACTTGGGGGTGCATGAAACAGCCTCAGAGGTATAGATAAAGACATATTAAGAAATCCAATTAAAAGTGTAATTGAATGGGTACAAATCACAGCACGACAATGACCTTAGCACCCGATTCCAACTTGCTACACTGTTGTTTTATCATAATGCAGGTGAATATTGTGAACATTATTTAGGTGAGCCGCCCCTTGGCCAGCAATGCAAGAAAGAATCTTCCCCTCTGCCCCCTAACCCACCAGCACGCATATGAAGTACATACTTCTGCAGAGGGAGGCAATGCAGTGAAGATGTTCAGAAAGCCTGGGCTCTGTGGTCAGAGATCCAAGTGTGAAGTCTGTCCCATCCAGCACTTATTAGATGCACTATATGGACAAGTGCCTTGTCTCAGTGCCTTGTCATAACACCTATCTATTAAAAGGTTCTTCTGCAATGATGAATATATAGTACGTGGATCCTGACATTCAGAAAGTGTTGATAAGCATCAGTTCTCTCTGCCTTATGGATCTTTGGGTGATCTACCCTCTTCCTTGGACTATTTCTTCTTATCCTGTTCAATTTGCTATTTTCTCTGGACTGGCAGATTTGAACCTAATTCTCATGATAAAAGATGCTCAGTGTTCAATTCATTTAGTAAATAAATATGTATTAAGCACCATCTATGTGCAACATCCTCCATTAGGGTCAGGATTAGATGTAAAATGAATTGCATCCTACTTATAAAATCTTCATAATATAGTTGGGAAGCCACACTTGAAGAATGACGTAGAATCAGATGCATAATCTAAGAACACCAAGTAAAGTGTTGTAACTCAGAGAAATGGGAAACTATTTCCATCTGGGACAACAGAAGAAAAACTTCTTGAAGGAGGTACCACCAAAAAGAATAAGCTTTAAAGATAGGGAGTTCAAGATCAGGCAGAGCAAGAGTGAGACCCTGTCTCTGAAAACAGCCAGGCGTTGTGGCAGACACCTGTAGTCCCTGCTACACGTGAGGCTGACGCAAAGGAATCTCTTGAGCCCAAGAGTTTGAGGTTGTTGTGAGTTATGATGCCACAGCACTCTACTGAGGGCAACAAAGTGAGAATCTGTCTAAAATAAATAAATAAATAAAATTTAGATGTGTGAGGATTGAAGATGAATGAAAGGCATTATCATTTTTTTAAATTTCTGGTTAATGTAAAAGTATAGATGATTATGTTATATTCTTTGCATTCATTAGATAAAGTTCAAGTTGTAGTTGAGCCCTTCACCCAGGGGGTTATGCTGTACACCATTCCAATGTGTCCACTAGGTAAGAGCTTTCTAATCCACCTCCCTTCTTCCTCCCCCCACCCACTTGAATTTGTGTTTTTTTCTCCTGTGGGCATGTAGATGTTTATCTACTGGTCTCATATTAGTATTGAGTACATTGGATACTTGCTTTTCTATTTTTGTGATACTTTACTAGGAAGATTTTATGAAGAAAACCCCCCTGGCAATTGCAGCAACACCAAAAATAAATAAAAGGGACATGATCGAGCTAAAGAGCTTCTGCACAGCCAAGGGTACAACAAGTAGAGCAAACAGACAGCCTTCAAAATGGGATAAGATATTTGCCTGCTACAAATCTGACACAGGGCTGATAACTAGAGTCTACAGAGAACTTAAAAACTAATCAACAGGAAAAGAGCAAACAATCTCATTTACAAGTGGGCAAGAGATATGAACAGAACCTTCTCTGAAAAAGACGAATGGCCAACAAGCACATGAAAAAATGCTCATTATCCCTAGTCATCGGAGAAGTACACATCAAAACCACACTGAGCTATCACGTAACCCCAGTAGGAATAGCCCATATTCCAAAATCCCTAAGGTGAACAGCATTATCAACAAAGTTATTATAGGAAAGGACATGGATACAGGACAGCAGAGGGTTTATAGAGAAAATTCCAATTAGATTCATATGTCTGAAATACGAGGTGAGTGAGTAGACAAAAGACAAAGTTGAAAGGCAGACTGGCATCAGACTATACAAGACCTGGAGGGCCAGGATAACAAATCTGGATATTATTGCCTGGGCCTTCCCTCCCTAACAGTTGTGTGGTCTCAATGTCTGGCCTACATGACAGAAGCTCTGTCCAATGTCCCTGAGCAGAATTTTTACTATTTCCAATTCAAATTCCATGCCACTCATTCACAGCACTGGTAAACTTCCCTTTTCAGTCTGAATCAATTGAGGGGATTCATGCTGATGTCATAAATGATTGGCACGATCTGAATCCAGAGAAGGCACAAGCCTTTCACAACTCAGGTTATAATTTCTGCTACTTATCTATGTTTCTGGTGATAACATTGTAATCACTCATCCACTCCCTGGGGAGTGGCCATTCAGAGTTTATCACACAGGCTTATAATTTTATTAAAACAGCGAGAAAATTTTCAGGCTGATTAACAGACACTTCTCAAGAGGAGACATGAAATCATGAGTGTTTTTTTTTTTCAAAATTAGGGGGAGAAATGTCACCCCCAAGGGAGAAAAAGAAAGACACTTCTTAAGCAGTTTCTTAAAACACTATAAAGCAGAGTGAGTTTTAGGTAAACCTATAAAAGCAACGTATCATGCATATCCCTAATATGGCATTTACTGGAGATTATTTGTTCAGTTATCTGTCCCCTCAGCTGGACAATTCATTTTGGTCTGAATGTCCTGCTTCCCCGTTTCACTTATCCATCCTATGCAGAAAAAAAAAAAATGCCTGCAAAATGTAGGAGGAGGGAAGGGATGAAAGAAATATTGGCAAGGAGAAAAGCAACTGAGGAGGATGTAGAGAAAAGCACAAATGAAAGATGAAGCAGGAGAGTGGAGACGGAGCCCATGCTGTTGGACAGGACACACACGCACCGCACACTGCCAAGTGCGGCTGAATGAATTAGCGGAGCTGATTACGGGTACTGACAGCCCTCTGTGGGCTAAGTGCAAAAGATACAAAGATGAATAACGCAAGGCTCCTGCTCTTAACCAGCTCAAAGTTTAGAGGAGGAGACCAAAAATGAAACGCGCACAACACACTGTAATGCTATGAGGAACAGAAGCTGCTGAGAAGGCTTTGAGAGCACCAGCAGAGAGAGGAAGCCTTTTCTTGAGAGCCAGGCTGTTTGTGTGCCATTAGGTAAATCACTGAACCTCTCTGAACCTCATCTTACAAAGCCATTCGGGCTGCCTGTTTCTCAAGGCTGTTTTGAGGAAAAAAGGAACTCATGGTTGAGAATCTACTCTCTGACTGCAAATCCCATCCATACCTGGGTCTGAGACAGCAGTTTCCCTTCTCGGCTTCACCCTGTCCCTCTACTATGGTGACACCGCCAGTCTGGTTTCCTACTGTGTGGACACAGTGCACCCCCAAACACACAACCTGGAAAACACTAAGAACCACTCACCAGCCACAGGTTGCTTCCATCCTTGGGGTCCACAGAAGGCAGCAGAGGAGGGCCTTGCACCCAGGGCAACCCCTGCTGAACTGCGCAGCCCTGGTCTTGTCCCCAGGGCTGTGCTCCCCTGGCCTCTCTTTATCAACATTTCCTTTCCCCCTTTCCTGCCTACTTTTCTCTGTCTGTTACAGTTTTCCTGTTTTCTCTACCTAGTCCCTCTTCCCATTTGGGTGTTAGTGTTTCTCCTCTTTTGAGAACAAAGTAATGTCTCAAATCTCCTGGAAGACCTCTGTGAGGAACAATGGAGAGAGAGGTGCCTCCATGGGGGCCAGGAATGTCTGAAGCTGTCTTAGAGCCCCACACCCATGCTAGGACTTTCTCATACTCCTGCCCCACACTTATGCTAGGACCCTCTCATCTCTCTCTCTCTCTCTCTCTCTCTCCCTCTCTCTACCACCACCCGTCCTCCTCCTCCTCTCCCTCCCCACTTTCCTCCCTCCTCTCTTCTTTTCTTCCGGTTAGGCCACTCTCTCTAGTCCTGCCTCCTCTTTCCCCCCAAGAACCCTAAACCCACCTCCCCTTCTTTTTTTATTCTCCACCCGACTCCTATAAGTGCCCTGGGGCCCGGTCTTAGTCTTAGCGCCCCTTCTTCCCTTTCCTCTCCCACCTGCTGGCTCTGGGGCGCGCTGCTACGACTGACAAAGTTCTCCCGGGACTCCAGGGCCCAGGACGCAGCAGCTCCCGGTTTCTGCTCAGCAGCCGGTGACCTCACTGAATTTTGCGCGCGTGATTGGTTACTTCAGGGCGCCACCGCGGGAGACCTGGGAAAGATTCCTGTGTAGTTTCTTTGTGCCTCCGCCTCTTCAGGTTGGGTTGGAGAGGTAGGCACAGGATCCTGCAGTACCCCTCAAGAGAAATTAGGAGCTGCCTTCTAGGAAGAGAAGGAGTGACTTGGGTAGACTCTGGAAAAGGGGTCTTGCGGTGTTAAAGGAAGGACCAGACTTCAGGGGCTGCGGATGGAGTAGGAAGTTTAAGAAAATTTGAGTACATAGAAGGTAACGATCTGGGAAGCTGTGGTGCAACTTTCAGCTTTAACCATGATGTCTTTCTTCAATGCTCGGAGTCTCGCCTTGGAAGGAATAGCGCTTTGGATGTGGGATCGGGCACTTACATTCCAGCCTTTGTTCTTCTGTTTGTAGGGCCTTGGCCAGTCAATTCACTCTGTTTCCACTCTGCAAAATAGGAATGCTAATGTCCTCACACTTACTTTACAGGTGTACTTAAAGGTTTAAATGCGAGAGTATTTCCTAATTATTAAACCCGTGGTTACTTGAGCGAATAATGTGGCACAGCAGAAAGAATCCTAGATTAGGAATGAGAAACCTTTGCTTATCTTTCATTTTTCTGTAGTGACTGTCACCAAATCTATTTTAACCTTCAAGGGCCGCACTGTCCTTATCTGTGAAGTGGGAGATCTCTGTGATCACTTAGGCTCTAACATTCCAGGACTGACTGATAAAATTTAGCATCCTCCCTTAATTTCCCCGTGGGAGGAGAAGTCGTTTCCTTTTTCACAACCTTGGTTAACTTCTCCCCTTTGTGAGAAACCTCCTCGTAGGTGTCCTGGTAACCCTGCAATTCCTAGGGTCCTGGCCTCTCCTGGTGCCCAACAATGAAGGTCCCCACCCAGAGCACAGCAGTGTGCATGTAGGGCTCATCCTTGATGGAGATTCTCTCCCCAGGCTACTGGCAGGAGCAGGATGTGGAGCTGGGAACTCTGGCTCCGCTCGACGAGGCCATCAGCTCCACAGTCTGGAGCAGCCCTGACATGCTGGCCAGTCAAGGTGAGAATCCAGGCCCCTCATCTCAATGTCCACAGTCCCCTCACTCATCCTCACATCATCTCCCACTCATGGTGCTTCCCCACATGTTCTCACTCCCCTCATCACCACACAGCTCTTTCTCCTCCCCATCTGGCATTTTAGTTCTTAGTCTGCACCACCAACTTCTCTGGCACCTCCTCCTTCTTCCCTTACTCCAGTACAGAGACCTCTGTACACCCCACACCTCTTTCCAAAAATAAAATGATTCCAGGGGAATATATTACTGGGAATAAAGAGGTCTGACAAGACACAGTCAAGAATTCTTCCAAAGGAACAAGGGGCAGGGGGATGGCTAGTTAAAAATTGGTACAAGGCGATGGCAAATAAAAGGTTTCCCAAACCATTTGTTGAGAGATCTTAGAGATATATCACTTCCAAATTTAGTCAGCCAGCTCAGTCCCGGGCACACAAATCTCAAAATCATAGTTTGAATTCTCACATTAGATGATTACTTGAGAAGCGTTCCAACAAAACGGTCGCTGCATTGAGAGACAGAAGAATAGAGTTCTGGCCCTCACTAGAACTGGTAAAATGAGCCTTGGAAATCCTTACATCCCATTGCCTCACTGCCTACTTCTGTCAAGTGAAGGAAGTAGATTTCATGATCCCGAAGACCTCACTCAGTTGTAATCTCCATGCTTCTAAACACCAAATGTAGCCCCTAGGCTCTGTGCTCCAGTGTGGGAATCGTCACCCTGAACAGGTGGGGCTTGGCATCTTCTCCAGCACACACACACACACACACACACGCACCCTCACTCTCAGGGCCAGTGCTCTGCTGGGAGTGCCCATGAGGTATTTCTCAGAAATGGAGTTCCAGTGACCAGGAAAGGAAGCAGTGAATGGACAGGGCAAGAGGTAAAGTCAGTGCCAAAGGGAGCATGGAATTGCTTAGGAAATACTCAACAGGGGAATGTAAGAAGTAAGTTTCTTGGTTTCCCATTCAGTGATAAACAATGCTGGGTGAGTGATTTAGTGCCAGAACAGATGTTATGGGTGTTTTAGAATCAGAGCTGGAAGGAGATTAGTCTGTAGAGGTCAGTGCTACTGAGTCACAGAAAGTTATAAAGATGAGGGAATCCATATCAGAAATCAGAATCCATCCTTTGGGGAATGTGGAACAATATTGGGTGAAGAAGTAAGTATCACAGAGTCTGAGGGGCTCACAGGCACGCACACTTGGGATTGAAACGGCTCATCCAGGAGGTACCTTATTTGCCTTTCTTGTTTTGTTTAACTTGACCAAGGAGAGAAGGATTAGAAAACATGCTTTCATCTCATTGGAGGGAAAACCTGAATCCTTTACTCTTTAAAATGATATCAGGATGGTGATTTCGGGTTGTGTCTTGGGAGGTGGGTAGTGCTATCATGGAAGGGACTATGTGAAGGGACTTGATGACTGAAGGGGAGTTATTGTTAGAGGAATTGAAAAGGATATCAGAATGTTTCAGTTTTTATTTTTTATATCGTGATTGTTTATTTGTCAGTTTTATCAGCTACCTTTTGTGTAAATGAATGTACAGCCCAAGGGCTGGTTTGGCCTTTTCCTCATGTTGGTTTGGGATTATTAGTCACAAGTGCTTCTCCTGTTCTTGTTCTTATACGAAGCTGGTGGCAGGGAAGGCAAAACAGAATGACAGATATGTATGTGTGTTTTCGGGGGAATGGTAGGACTATATCCAAAAAGATACATGTGGAATTGGTATGGCAGATTTGGGTGCCTTTTCTCCTCTACCCATTTGTGGCCCTGTCAGTTCATTCAGCAAACAAGTGACTCTATTTTTCTGTGTACTCAAACAAAAAATAAGGTCTAATCCCCCTGTAACCACCACCTCTATTCCTTCTGCGCTGAGGGCGTAAGAGCACACGGAGACTTTGTGTGCACTAGGGCTCGGAGTTAGGTGAGGTGAACATTGGCTCACAACTGGGTGGAGGGATGGTGGGTTCATCAGGAAACTTACCCTGCTCTACTCCTGCAGACAGTCAGCCCTGGACATCTGATGAAACGGTGGTGGCTGGTGGCACCGTGGTGCTCAAGTGCCAAGTGAAAGATCATGAGGACTCATCCCTGCAGTGGTCTAACCCTGCCCAGCAGACTCTCTACTTTGGGGAGAAGAGAGGTAGTGTCCTCCGAGTTACCTCTCTCCCTGGGACCCAGGGGCTGAGAAACAGGGGAGTGTGTGGTTGGAGGATGCAACAAGCCACGGGCTTCCCACTGGTTCTGGTGTCACAGCTCTGAGTTATGCCCTGCATAATGTAATAGGGTCCTGGAATGACTTCACTCCCACAGAGCCTGAACAGGTAGCTGGTGTCAGTGTTACTCCAGGAGTCTGTAAGATGCAGCCTACTTTTCTGTTAGGCTACCACGGCCAGCAGCTATGACCAAATGGCCTAATGAAAGCTCAACTCAGGAGCAGTCCCCCTGACCCACCATGCTAAACTCCTTCCCTCAATGAAGCTGGCCGGGGATTGGAAGATAAAAATGTAAAGGCACCAGTAAAAACCTTGCTTCGATCCCATCCACCCCCAGCCCTTCGAGATAATCGGATTCAGCTAGTCAGCTCCACGCCTCATGAGCTCAGCATCAGCATCAGCAACGTGGCCCTGGCGGACGAGGGCGAGTACACCTGCTCCATCTTCACTATGCCTGTGAGAACTGCCAAGTCCCTCGTCACTGTGCTCGGTGAGGCTCCCAAACCCCAGTGTCTCCACAGAGTGCCTCCTTGCAAACATACCTCCCCGTGTGGGTCCCTGGAGCAGCCTGGAGCCAGGCAAGTCTCCAAGCACGTTGGAAAAGTTCAGCCTGTGCTCTCCATGCAACAGGATAAAACGCAAAGCCAAATGGGTTCAAATCATTTTTTCTCTATTTACTGTTTGATTGGAGACAAAATTCTCACTCTGTTTGAGTCTGAATTTTTTAACACATAGCAGAAGGATGATCTTGTCTGCTTACCTACCTCCCAAGATCACGTGAGGGAACCATGAGGTGTGCATGCAGTGTGTAATTATAGTTTCCAGCTACCTCAGTTGCTCACATGCCGCCATCTTCATCCTGTATTTCAACTTCCTTATTTGCTTCCCCGAGCCTCACACTTTTTCTGTGGCCTCCCAGTTGTGCTATGGGGTGGAAGGTCATGTATCATGTCTCAGGTGTGGTACATTTCCCCACTACCATACCCACTCCCCCAGGGTCTTCCCTCAGGTCCTCGGGGAGGAGATCAAAGAGAAAGAGAAAGATGATTTCTCTAGTCTTCTACCCATGGTAAACCAAAGTAGAACTTAGGTATCCTGACCCTCAGAGAGGCCATCTCCACAGGGAGAGCTGAAGTGTGACTTCCTAGTGCCTCTCTTCCCCATCTCGGCCAACCTCTATCCATGGCAGGCATCCCACAGAAGCCCATAATCACCGGTTACAAATCATCCTTACGAGAAAAGGACACAGCCACCCTAAACTGTCACTCTTCTGGGAGCAAACCTGCAGCGCAGCTCACCTGGAAAAAGGGTGACCAAGAACTTCATGGTGAGTACCTTCTTCGCAAGAGTCACAGGAAGAAGTGGTGCTGGATAGGGAGCAAGGGACGTATGTCTTTTTGCACATGGGCATGACACAGAAGGAGAAAGAGGGGATGGCAGGTGTTTTGTGTGCACTCATGTATGTGTGTGTTGAGGTCTACATTCTCTTTGTGTACGTTTCCATTTCACAACCTTACAACTGTCTAAGTTTGTCTAGGTTGGGACCCACCATCTATATATCTACAGTGGGCCCCACACGACATCTATATATCTATGTGCATATGTGTGTGTGTATCTGTTTCTGCACTCTAGGAGAACCGACTCGGATACAGGAAGATCCCAATGGTAAAACTTTCACTGTGAGCAGCTCAGTGACGTTCCAGGTTACCCGAGAGGATGATGGGGCGAACATCGTGTGCTCTGTGAATCATGAGTCTCTAAAGGGAGCTGTCAGATCCACCTCTCAACACATTGAAGTTTTATGTATGTCCTGGGCTTGGGGGTGAAGAGGATCAGGGATGGGATGGGGAGGGGAGAAAAAAAAAGGCAGGAGACTTTGCATGAAGCAACACGCAAAGATAAGTAAGTAGGTAAAAAATAAGACAAAGGGCGTCAGGACTAGGCCAAGGGTTGGCAAGCTCTTTCTGCAAAGGGCCCAGTGGTGAATATTTTAGTCTTTGGGAGCTAGGCAGTGTCTGTCTGCACTACCGAAGCCTGCCAGTCTGCAGGGAAGCAGTCAGAGGCTACATGTAAACAAGTGAGCTGGGCTGTGTTCCAATAAAACTTTATTTTCAAAAGCATGCAACTGACAGGATTTGGCCCAAAAGGTAAATTTACCCACCCCTGAGCAAGGCTAGTGTGCTGTAGCCAGACTGTTAATTACAGTGGCAACTGCAGCAGATCAGGAATCCCAGGACTTGGTTTCTAATCTGCATGCCACCACTTACTAGTTCTGTGACATTAAGAAAATTACTTAAGCACATTCAGCCTAATTCTTCATCTGCTAAATGAGAGGGGTGAATGTAGGGATCACTAAGATTTCTTTTCATTGTAACATTCTATGATTTCAAGAAAATACAGGTGGTAGGAAAATGCAGTTTCTCCAGCATCATCATTCCTAGATCTTTTCCCTTTATTTACTATTTAATTCATGTCTAGACTCATTACTCAAACTTTAACAAGACACAAGTTTGGAGCGGCCCTGCTGTCCACTTAGCAGACTCTACAGGTGGACAAACTGGGTTCCAATTGTAGTGCTACCACTTACTAGCTGAGTTACTTTGGCCAAAGTATTTGATTTGTATATATTTCCTGTTTACTTCATGGAGTTATCATGGGGATAAATAAAACAATGTATATGAAAGAACTTAGTAAACATCAAAGTTCTATTTTGCTGTAAGGTGTCTCTTTAATTATTAGTTCTGAGTGTAAGACCCCTAGCCTTGGGCTCTTCCAACAGGCTTTGGTCCCTGGCCAGGGCTAGAGAAGGCTCTTTCCTGCCCCAGAGACTCCTGTGCTAGATACCAGACCATCTGGCAGTCCCTCTCCAGGGCCCTGTTGGCCCAACTGTGATCAGCAGTCAGTCCACAAATGCTGTACTCCAGGCGCTGTGCTAGAGGTTTCTATGGCTATGGGACCCTGGAATACCCATTCTTTCACCTGGCCTGATTCTCTTTGTCCCATTTGATTGGCCTGAAACACGTTCATTAACTGGTTGTTAAGGTTGCCTCTATCCTTAGGGGAAACTCAGCCTCTTTATCTGTTGTTCCCAACCAGCATCTGGTTGCATTGTTCTGCGCGGCCATCTGGACCTAGCCTCCTAAGCAGCCCTTGGCGTCCATGGCAGATGCCATTCTTCCTGTGCAGAGCCTATCTATATCATGTCAGTGCCTTTTTGCAGCCAAAATATGACCCATAGCTCTTGCTGTTTCAAAGCTTTCACTTCGCATTTGGACTGGCCATTCAAAATGATGTTTGGTGTTCAAGCTTTGCTTCCCATTCTAAGCTCTCTTGCAGAGTAGAGAGAACTGAGAAGTTGTGAGCTCAGTAAGTGGTAAGTTAAGGTTTCTTTATTCTGTCAAAAGTATGTACTTGTTCTCGTCTGTGTGCTAGGCGCAGGTGAACCCACTCATTCCCCTCATCAGCTCTCTGTCAGGCTATCTGGTAGGGCCCCCACCCAAGGACAGATCTCCCAGAATCCTATCTCACGAGGTTGCAATACAACAAGGTGCTCACACGTCCAACACCAACAGCAGGAGAGGAAGGGGAAGGAAGGTCTTTGTTCACAGCCTCTCGGGCTCCAGAGGCATTGAGAGGTGGAAGCTGTAGCATGTAGCTGGGTGAAGGGATCTCTGAAACAATGTGGGGAGTTTTGTGTAAACACCAATTTTTTCTTCCTCAGACACACCAACTGCTATGATTAGACCAGACCCTCCGCATCCCCGTGAGGGCCAGAAGCTGTTGCTACACTGTGAGGGGCGTGGCAATCCAGTGTAAGAAGACCTGTTTCCTCGTTTCCTCTAACCCATCACCAGACTGAGTGCCACCTAGTCACTTAGCGTCTTCCCGTGTCCTCTGTGCTGTCTGACCTGAGCCTCCCATTTTTCTGATGCTGTCCCTCAATGTCTATGCTCTGACTGTTTCTTCTGTAAAGCAGCAGAAGGGGAGGGAGGGGTGAGCCCCCTAGCGCAGACCCTGAGGTCCCCACAGGAGCCATGCTGCCGGGTGGGAAATCTCCACCTTCCCTTGAACAGACGCAGGAGGCCCCCCTTGACCCCCTTCTGGGCAGCGCTGTGTCTGCAGCCCCCACAGCGTCAGGAGCCTCATCAAATGCTCTGCCCTGCTCCCGGTCACTGTTTTCCTCCTTTAGCTCCCTGGCCTACACTCTCCTGAACACTTCCGCTTTGTATGCCCAACAGCCCCCAGAAGTACCTGTGGGAGAAGGAGGGCAGTGTGCCGCCCCTGAAGATGGCCCAGGAGAGTGCTCTGATCTTCCCCTTCCTCAACAAGAGTGACAGCGGCACCTACGGCTGCACGGCCATCAGCAACATGGGCAGCTACAAGGCCTACTACACCCTCAATGTTAACGGTGAGCCCTCCTCGCGTCTCCTCCCTGGCATCTCCCTTCTCTGTCTGCCTTAACCCCTCTATATTCTGCTTCGTGTTCCCTGTATGGTGATTAGGAGTGAAGCAAAGGAAAAGCCAGCCCAGCAGTGGAGGGTCTAAAGACCCAGGTCCACTCCACAATGTGAAATAACGAAAAATCAGTAGAAAGCTGGGCTGTCATCTGCCTTGGTTTACAGTGGTGGTCTGAGTGATACCATCCTCCAGCCCCTCTGCTCAAGAATAATAATCCTGCACATAGAGGTCCCCGAGCCTGCCCAGTGAGGGGTGTAAACCCACTTCCCTCTCTGATGACTGTTCCCAGTGACTAGGCATGGGAGGCCTGTGACTGTGTCACTTCCTTTCCTTTATACTGCGTCCAGCAGGAAAGAGAAGCTTGTACCAAGAGATAGGCAGAATCTTTTCTCAGCTGCAGGAGGGGCCAGGTGATGTTCCTTCTCTGAAGTCCTTCTCAAAGCTGTGACCCCAAAGCCCAGCGTCAGGAGAAGTGGCAGGCTAGCACAGAGGCCCCTTGATGAAAAGTTGGCAGAGGATTTCTTTGAAGATCTTGATGGCAGTGGGGTCCTGCCAGAAAGTCTCATAAATCTCTTTCTCAGAGTAGAGGAAATGCATTGTCAGGGGAACATCAGAGCCTCCCTCGCTTGAAACACCCATTTAAAAAGTTGGGGGGATAACAACAGGCCTCGCAGGAATAAGAGGCCTGAATTCTTGGGACTAGAATGTCTGGACGGGTAATTCCTACTCTAGGGGCAGCCCTCAGCATGTGGGAGCTGCCTGAGCACAACACAGCTATTGTCAGATGCCTGGAGCCAGGACAATGTGCTGAGGTCCGGTCTCTGCCCCCAGACCTCTCCAGTCCCACTCTGACAGCCATTGGCAGTGAGAGAACGTTTCTGGGGCCCTGTGGTTGGTATCTCGCTGATCACCCCTCTGCCCTGCGCTGAAAGCAAGGCGGACGGGGAGTCCTGTTGGACCGTCAGCTGCCAGTGCTGACGCCTGGTGGCGGAAGGCGGTGCTGCATCTTCCCGGAGCGTTCTCCGCCGCCTGGAAGCAAGAGAAATGTAGTTCTACCTAGCAAGAGCCCTGTAGATGATGACCCCAGAGGTCATTGTGGCCATGGAAACCTGTGCTTTTCTAAGGAATTGCCATTTCCATAGTCTCTGGGATAATTAACTGGCATTTATTTCCTCGTACTCCCTGGGAGAGAGACAGTGGGTAAACTCACTGGGCTTCCTCCAAATTACACCATCACACCCACCCCAGTCATAGCACAGAGTCCCTGGGCCAATGCTCTCTCTCCCTCCCAAGCAGAGCATAAAAAACCAGAGCACAAATGTTGTCTTTTCCAATAAGGCATAGACAGGCAGGGAACTGAAAAGCTGGCCCAGTCAAGCCTGAGGAGACATAAGGTAGCAAAAGACAGAATATATAAGGGGTCAATGAGGCATCAGAACTCAAGCTGAGTCTATGGAAAACAGTAGCTCTCCCATGGGTGGGAGATTTGTATCTATGGCTATTGTAATTTTGGGCACCTCAGACTGTGTCCTGGGCCTATGTACTTGTCGTCAGATATTCGTGACTCTGAGTATAGCAGGTCATGTTCCCTCCACACAGTCTGTGTTGCAGGGATCTATCCTCTCTGTATTTTGCTATAGAGGACAGATTTGTTACATTCAATGGCAGAGACGTCCCCCATCGGTGGAGAAAACAGAAGGCAATTTAGCCCTTTTCGTCCCCACAAACCTTTGGATGGTGCAAAGGACATATGGAATCCTGGGCCTCCCTGTTGGTATAGGCTATGGGATTGGAGTTGCACTAGAACCTAAATTTTCCTGCTATGAAGGAACAATGTTTATACAGGAATTAAAGTCTATCATCTTTTGTAAGGTGTTGTCAAAATGTTACGTCTTATGTCTATAAGCTTTCCCCTGCTCCTTTCCTATTTACTCTCGGGGAAGTTGGTGAATAGGCTGAGAAGTCCCTAGAGATAATGGAAACCAGCTCAGATATCGAGCAGACAGGAGGGTAAGAGGGCATGGATGATAAGGAAGGAAGACTGATAACTTTGTATGGGGGGAGAGAGAGAGAAGAAAAGGAAGAAGAAGAGGCAAGGGGGGAGGGGGAGAGGAAGAGGAGGAAGTGGAAGAAGATGATCAAGACGAAGAAGAAG